GATATGCTATCCGGATAGCCGCTGAGCTCAACGGTCGCCTGAACTCAGCTGAAGGGTCGGTAGAGATCCGAAACGACTACATTTCACTAGATATTTGTAAAAGAAGCATAGGATTAAATAGGGGAGCCGAAAGGGCTCCCAGAAGATAACAGAGCAGAATTTGCCTAGTCCAAGACACGTGTACACTTTTCCGGTAAGTCCCTGCATAGGGCTGGATTATGCCTGCCGTCAATACTCGAGAGGCATAGCTTGTAGGGTATTGACTGGTAGCGCCAAGAGATTAGGTCGGTCCGGGTAGGACAAAGTCTCGCTACGCGCGAAAGAAAGTCCCGCATACTCAGCGGGCCGGTACGTCGGATAGCCCGGGTGCCGTAACACTTCTAGCTCAGCAGCCTCTGCGCTCGGTGACCTGTAAAAGCGCTCGCGCGCCGTCGTCCATCCTTTGGTGGAGGGCACAGGGCTGTGAGCGAGCTCAGCCGAACCAAACTCGGCGGAGCCTCGGAAGTGATCTGACTTGGTTAGTCGGAACCGAGTGGAAGCGAGCCACTCGTCTGTCCCGGAAGGGCCGGACCGCGAGGGGACCACCCTCTGCGCAGGCCATACAACCGCCGACCTAACTCGGCGATTCGTTGTGGTTTGTGTAAGGAATCCACATCTGACGATATTTGTGTGTTCTAGTACACCACAGTTAAGAGTTAACGGACTACCTTGCATTTAATGGCCCCGCAGGGTATGCCTACCAGCGAACAGCGACCTTCCTGAAGCTAGCGCTCGTTTCCGGTCAGCTCAAGCGACTAGTTTGGGGAGGGCTCCCTATTTGATGGAAGTTCGGGCGTTGAATTTTCTATATTAGTGATCTCGGTATCGATCGTATGTCGCAGACAACTTACTGCCTGAGTTATGCTCAGGCAAAAGGTTCAAGGACACTAGGCAACCTTCAGCTGTTTGTTACCACGGGATAGTATAGAGAGAGAGAGAGAGAGAGAGAGAGAGAGAGAGAGAGAGAGAGAGAGAGAGAGAGAGAGAGAGAGAGAGAGAGAGAGAGAGAGAAAGAGAGAGAGAGAGAGAGAGAGAGAGAGAGTGAGAGAGAGAGAGAGAGAGAGAGAGAGAGAGAGAGGGAGAGAAAGAGAGAGAGAGAGAGAGAGAGAGAGAGAGAGAGAGACGTACAGATGAAGCTCGCGCCTGTTATGTTTGTGTGTTAAGCCAACCGGAATGGCACGCATGGAGGGTACTGGTTGACGATTGGGCTGCATTTGCAGGCCCGCCTGATACTCCCGAGGAGTTGTGACTTGTGAAGTCCAAGAATCGCTCTCGGAGCTGGTGCCGCTGCACTTGTCCATCAGCAGTAGAGACCGCGGGTCCACACACAAACGTGTTCAGCGGCTGCCGCGCAGCGAGGCGAGCTGCTTCGGCAGGGTTCCGCGTCTGGAAGCCGTAGTCACGGCGTGACGTGAGGCCAAGTGGCCGATCCACGGGTCGAAATGACTGTGATGAGCGCGGCACTCTATTCTAACCTTTGTACCCTAGCCTTCCACATTTAAAAAGTCAAAAAATAAAATCAGACCGGACTATATCGTACGATCTATCCGGATTACTACGTCCGGTCGATGCTTTGGACTGGTGTAGCTTACACCATCGTGGCGCCGCGTCGTCACTTGAACCGTCGCCGTCGATACAAATAGGTCGAAAAAACCACTTTTGTTCCTTGGAACACTCTGGCGATGGTTCGTGACTCGATCCTCTGTCGCCAAGCAGTTCACTATATCACAAGAGACCTGGGAAGTCCAGTCCTGATTGAAGTTCAAGTACGAGCCGCCCACAGCTTCGTGGTTACTGACCTGGCAATGGTCTGGCCGAGCGACCATTCCCGATCGTCTCCATGGATTATGTGATATCATTACCGAAGACGCGCAGGAACAACACTGCGCTGCTACTATCCCAGTGTTCTTTTCCTAGATTCGTCATTGCCAAGGCTATGTCCGACACGAATGCACTCACCGCCGCAGAAGTGTTCAAGGTGTGTGTATACCGACGGTTCAAAGCACCTTCTCGCGTCCGACATGGCCGTGATCCACGATTCAATGAGTGAGGGTTTTCACGCCTTCGCCGAGATAATGCCGGCAAGATCGCGTGCGACGTTGATCTATCCACCACAACCTTATCGTCAGCAAGAATGTGTTGAAGTGCTTTTCAAGAAACAAGAAGACGGGAAGTGACTACCGGACACTGTTCTGGATTAGTGACATTGTGGATCCGAACACGACGATCTGGATCCGGGAATTACAAATCGGGATGGAAGTTGTAACGATTTGGACGGGGGGGGCAACGACACCGACTAGGACCCAAGCGGAAGGTCGCAAGATCGAGATGTGGATATCATGCGATCCGGGAACCGAAGGAGTGAGTGGAGGGCTGCGATCTGAACCCGATATCCAAGATCGTCAGGATCCAGGTGTACCCACGATCCAGAGATATTCCGGATCGGGGGTATCCCTGATCGGGGATAAATCGGTGGTCGGCCACGATACAGTGATTGCGCCACAACTCTTGGCCGGTACAGCTGGGGAGATGAACCGAGGAGAGAAAGGGCACGCCGCTGAGCCTGGTAGGGGATTTAGTAGGTAAAAAACCATAGAGGATACAGATCCAGGCTTGTGTAGGCTTACCGTTAAATCAGAACTCAATTTGTTCAGTATCACGCAAGTGCCTTCCTGCCCTCAAGAATCGGGACTACATTTTGCCGTACGAGCTCGGCGAAGGTTGGGAATAGCAGATCTAATGTTGGTAGTGATAACTGAAAAAAAAATGGCCAGCTCCTACCACCCGGTAATCTTTCCTCATACATGTTCAGATCCGTAAGGCTAACCGGATTTACTATACCAAAGAGTCTCTCAACTTTCAAGACCCGCTATAGGAAGCGGCACCGACCTTTTCTCGCCTGACCGAAAAAGAGGTGCCATGTTAAAATAAGCAAATATCATTTATTAGTCAGAATTGATTTTTTTTGCTGACGTTATCTGGCCAAAATGACTACCATATTTTTTATGGGCCATTTACATTTCCAAAATGGTTTACCTGTTTTGGTGAACCATTTGATCTTATGATATGGATGCCTTTCGGTCCTTCAGCTTCGGCGTGCACCGCCACTTCCTCCCTTGCATGCGGCTAGCAAGCGTTTGGTAGCCTTTGTGTCACCCATCATCGCTCGAAGCATTCGTACAGAATCTAGTTTGTGCTCTGGCACACGGCCGCGTATAATAATGCTGTCAGGTGCTACGTTGAGCCGCCAAGCTCGCAGAAAGGTACATGCAGGTTCTAGAAGTGCAACAGGCATGCTACATGGTCACTGGCCCAAATATACACCTACGAACGCAGTGAGAAAGCTGGTACAAGTCTCTTTTCTCTTTTTCACTTATTCATGCTTTGCAAAGTACGGAGACACCCTCCGTACGTGCACAGCGTCTTCCGCTGACCCTCACGGCTGCCATACAGCGAGTCATCGGAAGCGAAAAGAAATGAATGAAAATTGACATCCAATTCAATTCTGACCGGTGCGATATTTGGGAGATGTCTGACGATATTCTTCGTACTATTTCTAAATTCTGAATCCCTCTATTATCTTAATTGATCAATTTTGCTTCGTGACACCCCTAGCACATTCAATATAATTGGTGTGGGTTAGTTTAGCGTAAGTTTAAGCAAAAACGCACTTGTACTTATACAGCCTCGTAGCAACAATCCCGTTGAAGAATGGAGGTGAATTATAATGTGCTAAAACTCCTTCAAAACTCTCGAGATCCCGAGCAAAATACATCCGTCTACCTTGGTCAAGTTGTCGTGGTTCTCGCTGGTGACATAATCGAATAACAACACAAGATCTGTCAGCATTGGTGTCCACGCAACTCGCTCCCGCAAGATAATTTCGAGTTTGTCTGCCTCTAGCATAGTCCCAACAACGTTGCTGTCCAAGACTACATCGTCGTCTCCTCCGGCTTTCCTAATTTTCCAAAAAACAAAAATAAAATCTATTAATACGTCTGACGCTCATTCTTATCGGCTGGGTACCGATCCCAACGTCAAGCGACTAGGGACAAGTGTACCGAGGAACTGATAAGAATCGGTCGCTAGGTATTTGGTGTTTACTGTGTGTAGTAGATTTAGAAATAGCAGCAGCGCGGCACGGTGATCTCCACCGAACAAAGTAAACGGCAGATGCCCGCGTCACGCAGAGTCTGACGGGGTCACCCAGCACCTTGCGCTGGAGGAAGTTGGCTTCCGAGAGTATACAAACTCTCAGTGAACGGCAGTTCACCGGTCCCCTTTTACCGAAAGGAAGCGAAGTGACCAATTTAAGGTAGGTTGTAAGCTGAGTATATTTATAGATAGGCTAAGCTTGAGCTAAATGTACAAACTATAAGTCACCTATAGAAAAGCAATGTCATCAGCCAATGGTTGGCCCCGGACGACCTTGGTACCTTGTACCAAATATCCCGAAGTATGACGTGTCAACCTTCATGTAACTATGGTTACACTTAGGGCCACGTACCCCGCTACACAGAGCATGTGGTGCGTTCTGTGTTTAATATCATGACCGTAGCGATAAAGATGTTGGTCCTCTTGGCCTAAATTTACCATACAAACGATTGGATGGCACGCTTGTCATCCTGGGATCCCAGCCAGCTCGGGGATTCGTTCTCCGATCCCCAACTTTTTTCTGGGATCGGAGAACGGCACCCCAGATTTTCTGTTTTTGCACAATTCGCCCAGCTTTTGTAAATGTCCGTGCACCAATGAAAAGCGAGATAAGAATGCCCTGAGAACTGACCCCCCCCCTGTTTTGTGACAGGACTTCCGTTTTTGATTTGTGTTATTTTGTGCAGGCTCCCAATAACCTTTCTTATGTCCTACAGCATGCTGTATCACGAGTGTGAGCTCTTCCGCCGCTCTTATACTTGAACGTGCGCCGACCGACTTCCACAGCAACAACAATATTCGCCGCTATGACGGAAGCCTTCTCGAACCGCGTCCAGCGTGATCTGGGCCTCTTCGACTTCTTCCGCAGCCGCACCATGTCCTTAGGCCATCGTGAGTCTCGCTCCGCTTCGCAATCGTCCGCCAGAGCGTCGTCCAGCCGTTCCAAGGCCTGCACGCGTTCGCTTGCGCCTTCTGCGTCGATGCCGCCGCCTGCACCCGCCTCTGCGCCTTCTTCGGTTGCTGCACACGTAGATTCCGCTAATCTCCCGCTGCCTCTGCCGGAGTCGATGGACTCGGTGACTACAACTGCGTCGGCCGAGTCTTTCAACAATAACGACCACCTGAGTGACGATGACGACGACGACGGTAGCGACTCAGACGACGGCATCAGCTCCGCCCCTAGTGGTGAAAGTAGCAACAGTAATGTGGGAAGTGCCATTACCAAGTACGAGGTGGTTCGTGAACTAGGAAGAGGAGCCACCGCCGTCGTGCAGCTTGGCCGGCTGCGTGGAGAAGACGATCTGGTGGCGCTCAAGGTGTTCACGACGTCACTACTCAAGAAAATGCGCGAAGTAAAGCGCGTGGGGCGACGTATGGTTGTATCCACGGCGTTGGACAAGGTGCAGGTGGAAATCGCCATCATGAAGAAACTGCACCACCCGAATCTGTTAAATCTTCTCGAGGTGTTTGACGACGATTCCGAGACTCTTGTGCTTATGCTCGAATACGCACCGTCGGGTCAGGTGATGCAGTGGTTTCCAGAAGAAAAGCTGTATAAAAGATCAAAAGGCAAGAACGAGAGAAACTGCTTCACTGAAGAGGAGCTGCGCGCTTGTGTGCGTCAGCTCCTGCTCGGCCTCGAGTATCTACACGAAAACAACATTTGCCATCGCGACTTGAAGCCTGAGAATATTCTAGTGGGTCAGGATGGCACCTTCAAGATAGCTGACTTCGGCGTAGCGCACTTTTTCGAGGAGGACGACAAGAAAGCCAAGGCTAAGGCTGCAGGAGAGGTCACCTCTACAGTAGCGAAGCCTCATAAGAAGGGCTACGTCTCGACAACAGCTGGGACATATGCGTTCATGGGGCCGGAGACGCTGAAGGGTGGTGAATACAGTGCATATGCGGCAGACATCTGGGCTATGGGCATTAGCATCCACGCTCTGGCCTTCGGTACGATCCCGTTCTACGATCCAGATGTTGTGACTCTCTTCGAGATGATAGAGAAGAATCCTATTGAGCTTGAGAACAATGCATCGGAGGGCCTAAGCGAACTTCTGTTTGGTCTGCTAGAGAAGGACCCGGAGAAGCGCTGGTCATTGCAGCAGTGTAAAGAGCATTCGTGGGTGGTAGAGGGTCTATCAGATCAGGAGAAGCAGGAGTATGTGGAAACGAGCTACGAGGCTGTGAAGGTTGGGCCGGAGGATCTGGCTTGTGCTGTAACTCGCGTGACTTCGCTGAATGTTATTCTGCGCGTAAAACTGGGTGTCAACAAGTGGAAACGCAAAGCAATGCGGACGTTGGAGGAGCGACGGAAATCGCTGCACGACGGTGGCAGCAGCTTCGGTGAGTCGCCTTCCTCACAGTTTTCAACCGTCAGCGCAGCTGAGTCGATTGAATCGGAGACCAAGCAACCTACAGCAAGCACAGAAGTTACAAACAACCAGCTCGAGATTTAGCGAATGTACATGTACTTTATGCCTTTTTACGGTAGCAAAATGCATGATCTTACTAGCCCTAAAACTGGCAATTTACGGTAAATAAATTGCACTTACATTTTTCAAGCTCAGGGAGAACCAGAGAAAAAATCGGCGTCGCCATGCAGCGCTACAGCCTCGCGCAGTCATCGTACCAGAGCGAATACTACAACCGGAGCGACCGACTGCTCGACGCCTCCAAGTTGGAGTCCAACCGCTACAGAGGGGGGGTGGAGTCGGTAAATACCGCGACATCGCTACGACCTGGTGACAACTACGGCGCATATACTTCCTCGAGTCAGACGCGCCATCAGCTGCAGCACCAGCACCGAAAGCACCACAGGGCGGGCAGCAGCAGCGGAAGCAGCCTACCAGTGGTCACGGCGGCAGCAGATCTCGATGAAGAGGATCAGTACGCGCTGCAGCTAATGGCGTATAGGGCCATCTACGTCTTACAGGGTGCTTTCATGGGAATGCTTGGCCCCGCGCTCGTCTTCTTTTCCGAACTGGCACAGGGGAAGTCGGGACTTGCAGCACCAGTTTATGGTTTCGGTCCAATATTTGCTGCCCACGGAGGTGCCGCACTCGTCATGAGTTTCATGAGCGACTTTGTGCTCACTTTTTTTACAGAGAAGGAGTTCATGAAGCAGCTGATCGTCGTTCTGCTGCTCTGCAGTGGCGCTTGGTACGCATGTCTAACGCCCGTTGCTGCAGCCACAGGCAACGTGGGGGTTGGAGTGTTCTTCATTGCTAAAGGATTCTGGACGGCGCTACTGAACATCACGTAGATGCAATTGATGCTAAAACTTTTGTGGCAATAGGGACTGACGGATGTCTTCTGGCAGGTTAAATCGCTGTTCTATGTGGATCGCAGGGGAGAAGGATCAGCGAAGACGTAGTATAATCACGTCCATGAACATCAACTACGGACTGGGCTCTTTGCTAGGTGCAGTTGTGGCGCTGGTGCTCATCAAGCTGGATATCGATCTCGCCTACGCTTTCTTTGGTTTGGCCATCATGACGGTGTTCCCGACTGTGCTAGTCGCGATGTTGCCGAATCCCCACAGCTACTACGGACGCGACGAACATCAGACATTGCTGTCCTTTGAAGACCCTACGCGGCGTGTCCCAACTGTCCCCAGTCCAATTGTGGGCGGCGTCTTCTTGCATGCCCAGCACATCAGTGGCTCCAAAAACTGCAGTCCAGACACGTACGACTCGAAGAACAACTTTATTATCTTGTTGGTGACTATCTTCGCGACCGTACTTTTCGGCATCCAGCTCGGACTCGCTGCCTTTTTGTACGACTACATCGGGACGGTTCTTACAGACGGTGCCAAGTTGGCAGCAGCTCAAATACCTGGATCTGACAGTACCGAGGCTGGAAGCGAGAGCAACCAAGCAGTGTGGCAGTGTGCGGCAATGGTGTTGTTTTGGGGATCGTTGACGGTGTCGTATGTGGTCCTTCCAAAGTTCTTGTTCCATGACAGGAATCTCTACTCCATCGTGGTTTGTGCCGTGGTGTGTGGAGCGAGTGCTTTCGGTCTTCTTTTCGGTACGCAATCAGGACTTATCATCTTCACGATATGCCTCTTCCTCTTCTCGTTTGCACTGGCGCCGCTTTTCACGCTGAGTATCCACTGCTTGACACGTGTAATTAATGAGCAGCTAATCCGGCGGGTGTCTTCGCTCATTGTGTTCGGGTGTGGAATGGGTGAGGTGTTCATTCCAGTTCTCATGGGTTTTTTCATGAGTGGGCAGAGCGGACAGGCAAACGGAGCAGTTGCTGTGAGTTACATCACCTTTATCCTTGCTATCACGCTAGTGGGCGTTAGCGGGATGCTGCTGTGGATGGTCAAAGAAAGACTAAAGGAACTGCCGGAACCTGTAGACGAACTTGAGGGCAACAGTGACATGGGTCGGATGCGTGCGGCTCGTGCTGGCCATGGCACACGGAAGATTAACCACTATTGACGACGTACAGTAGAAGTATAGACCCAACAACGAGCTGTCTATTTGCCAAAAAGTAGTATTGTACATCGAAACTCAGTTAGGGACATACCTGCACATGGACTTCTCCTTCAGCTTCAGCTTGCCGAGCTGGACACCCCAATCACGATTTTGCCAAGGAGCCTCTGACGGGACAATAAAATCGCTTGGAACATTACGATGGCCATGCAGCCGTTCGAACGTAGCAAGCATCGGCTCGACACGTTGGTCCCATTTAACGCGGGCAATTTGCAAATCGAAGCCCACAGCCCCCAGTTTGTCCATATTTCGAACAATTCGGTCAAAATAGTACGAATACGCGCGAATGTTACTGATGACTATGCCGAGTTTGAGGCCGTGCGATTTAACAGGCCACGAGTCTGTAGACGGCACTACAAAGTCTTTCCTGACATGGCCATGACCTGTCTTACGTTTGAATGTCTTCAATGCCGGGAAGACGCGGTCGTTCCATTCCGTGAAGGAATGATCCCAGACAAACTCCACTTTTTTTAATTCAGCCTCGTCTCGGGCGACTTGCTCACCGAAATAGCCCTTACTCCGAATGTTATTGACAGTGCCTCCGAGTGGCATTCCCGCAGCAGCTTTAGGCCACGGCAGACAATCCGGCACTTTAAACAGTCTGTGCACATCACAGTGTCCGAATTCCTGACGAAAGACCTGCAGCGACGGTAAAACACGTTCGCGCCAGTCACGATCGTACATAGTTGAGTCGTAGCAGAAGTTGATCTCCGCCATCTCTTGGACGTCCTTTTGGATCTGTATCTTGAAGTCTCCTCGGTGGCGAATATTGAAGACCCGCGGGCCGAGATAATACCCCCACAGTCTCTCAGGCCATGCAGCGTCTCCGTGCTGGACGCGAAACGTCTGGGGCACGTCAGTATGATCGTAAAGCTCGTAATAACGGCACAGCGCAGGCTTAACGAAGTGGTCCCACATGTATTGGCTGCGGTCGAAGGCAAAATCGAGCTCCTGTAGGTCTTGCGCGGCGAACTTTGGTGGTTCCAGTCTTCCTCTCCAGCGGCGACGCAGCCACTCCGCGTGTTTACCCAGAGGGTAGCCGTGAGTATTTACAGGCCATTCGTCGTCATCCATTGGGACGACGAAGGAGATCGGCACCATCACATGGTTGTGGAGCTTCAAGAACGCGCGCAAAGCGGGGTTCACCGTCTTAGTCCACACGGTGGCGCTCAATGGTACGGTGATTGATGGCACGCGATACGCGGGAGATTCCGACGAGAAAGAACGCTTCGAATCACGCTTGCATTGCAGTGGAGAGGTACTGACAGATAAGAGGTGGATCGGAGCAGGCGCGAGTTGCAGCGCGCCAACGGGTAGACAGCGCCGCGCCGCCACCACCATTGTTTTGAGCACCATCGCTTTGAACGGTATTATTGTGAATTTCCGACCGTTTCACTCGTTTATTACGAAGTACTACTAGTATTATTATGAATTTCGCCCACAATTAGCAAAATTTGTTCATGAGACAAAATGATACTTACGAACCTAAGTACGAATCGCGATTTAAGCACTCAACCGAAATTTCTCCGGCTGTGGAGAAGTTTCTCAATGCGGCTTCAGGAAACACCGCAGCACGGCAGATGCTGTATGGACACACCGGTGGCTGTGCGCACGCGCACAACGTTACCGCGAGACCATCCATGTGACGGGGTCACACAGCACCTTGCGCTAGAGGAAGTTATCTTCCGAGAAAATACAAACTCTCAGTGAACGGCAGTTCACAGGTCCCCTCTTTAATTAAAGAGAGCGAAGTGACCTAAATAAGGTAGATTGTAAACTGGGTATATTTATAGGTAGATTAAGTTTGGGTTTAATACAAACTATTAGTTACCTATAGAAATGCAATGTCATTTAACCAATGGTTGGCTTTGAATGACCTTGGTACCTTGTACCAAATATCCCGGAGTATGACGTGTCATACTCCTGAAGTGTGGAGTGTCACACTTCATGTAACCAGGGTACACTTAGGGCTACGTACCCCGTTACATCCTCCCCCACTTAGGTTCGGTTTACCGACCAATCAGAATGAAGAGGTGTTCGTCACAAACTACTCCAGGTTTTGCAAACCTTCCTGACTGACGACGACATCCGACTAATCCGACTCCTGCTGGCAAACACGACGCTGGCACTTTGAACAGGACGCCGGACGATGGCCCTTTTTCCAGCACCACTGGAACTCCACAAGGTGACTCGTTATCCGTGTTGTTTGTGATTTACCTTGATGCAGCTCTTCGTGAATAAGCTAGTGAACTAGATATATCTTACAGCCTATTGGAGCAGATGGTAGTGTACGCCGACGACGCTGATTTTATCTGCCCAGACGAAACCACTTGTGGTGTAGTAGAACACACAAATATCGTCAGATGTGGATTCCTTACACAAACCACAACGAATCGCCGAGTTAGGTCGGCGGTTGTATGGCCTGCGCAGAGGGTGGTCCCCTCGCGGTCCGGCCCTTCCGGGACAGACGAGTGGCTCGCTTCCACTCGGTTCCGACTAACCAAGTCAGATCACTTCCGAGGCTCCGCCGAGTTTGGTTCGGCTGAGCTCGTTCACAACCCTGTGCCCTCCACCAAAGGATGGACGACGGCGCGCGAGCGCTTTTACAGGTCACCGAGCGCAGAGGCTGCTCAGCTAGAAGTGTTACGGCACCCGGGCTATCCGACGTACCGGCCCGCTGAGTATGCGGTACTTTCTTTCGCGCGTAGCGAGACTTTGTCCTACCCGGACCGACCTAATCTCTTGGCGCTACCAGTCAATACCCTACAAGCTATGCCTCTCGAGTATTGACGGCAGGCATAATCCAGCCCTATGCAGGGACTTACCGGAAAAGTGTACACGTGTCTTGGACTAGGAAAATTCTGCTCTGTTATCTTCTGGGAGCCTTTTCGGCTCCTCCTATTTAATCCTATGCTTCTCATACAAATATCTAGTGAAATGTAGTCGTTTCGGATCTCTACCGACTCTTCAGGCGGCCGTTGAGCTCAGCGGCTATCCGGATAGCATATCCGGACAGATCGCCGAGTACTTACCGTGATCCTTGGCTCCTAAGCTCTGGGTTATCAGACCGAGCCGATTCTTGACCTAAAGTAGGTCGGCGTATGGTCGAATCTGGAAATCCCTACACCACAACTGCCCCGGTTATGATACGAGCCGAGCTGGTGAGTGTCTTAATCCTTCATTTTGTTCTGCCACCGTTGGTCCGTACTCGGCTGATGACGTCTCGCGGCTCCCCACCACCTTCTTTGGTACGTTCGTTGCTTCCGCTATCACTCACTTGGCAGCTCCTTACTCTTCGCATGTTGTTCTAGCACAACCCGTGGAACCATCCTTCTTCTCCAACTCCTCGTCGAGGTGAAGGCGTGCCAGCTGAGTCGATTCCTCGACCCGTCGGTACTCGTGGGGTCAGCGACCGGCATGAAGCTGGGCTGGTCGACCTGACAACTTCCCATGAGTCTGACGCGGAGTCGGCGGGGTCTTCTCGCGTGCGCCTTCCTGGTCCACCGAGCTTGCCAGGCGACACCACTTCGGGCGCCACCAATCAGCCAAGATCGGCTGCTCCAGTGAGTCTTGACTCCCTCATGGCCAGAATTAACGAGCAAGGGCATGATCGCCGAGAAGAATTGACCTTCTTGGCGAGGCTCATGGCTTACGGATTCACTCGTTCCGTGGAACCCTCCGATCCTGTACAGCGGCGAGCGATTTTGCATGCTGCTTCCGCGGGGGAACTGTTGGATATCCTGAAAGGCAATTACGCCGCTCTTGATTACCCCAAGATCATCGGCGATCTCCAAGCTGACAACCAAGCTGTTCAGGAGGAGAACCGCGCATTGACTCGGCGACTGGACTCGCTTGCTCTCAGCAATGTCGACTTGTCCACTCAGCTCTCGTCGGCTCAACAGCAAGTGTCTCGATTGGAGGCTGCTGCCAAGCAATCGGCTAATCTCCTCGCGTCGCTGCGGAAGGCTGTAGCTCTGAGTGAGGCGAAACTTGCTCGGGCCATCGCAGCTGAGCAGAGCAAGGTCGACGCTGCGTTGAGTCAGGCCCAGCTCCACCATCAGCAAGTCTTGGATCGGGACGCCGAGATCGACGTCCTTCTTCGATCCATTTCTGAGAGGGATGCGGCGTTCGTTACTCTTCAGGGCATCGCTTCCAAACACTTCGAACAGCTGCAGGAGTCGGTGCGGTTGTACAGTTCCACCGGTACTCAACCCTTGCGGCACGCTCAGTCGGTGATCGCTGAGCAGCGAGCGGTGATCTTGCGACAGAAGCGGCTCATCCGTCGGAATGGTATTATTCCGATGCACGATCCTCACATGGCTGCTGCTGCTGGCGGTGGCTTGCAAGTTCCTGGGCTTGATCCGTCCGACCTTCTCCTCAACGCCCGGCTGTGTCGTGTCTTGGAGTCTCGCTTTCCTGAGGTTCTCAACATTCCCGCTGGTGAAACTCGGCGGTTGGAGTTGATTGTCCATCCTCGCCGAGATGCTCCAGTGGCGAGTTCCGTTATTGGTCCTGGTGTGGTTCCCTCAGCTAGTCAAGGGTCTTCGACGACTTCATTGGCAGACTCGGCTGCGGCTCCAGTCAGCTCGGCGGCGGTAACCACTCAGGCTGAGCCGACTCTTGCTCAGCTTCACCGTACGCCTTTGGCAAACTTGACCTCGACTCAGCAGCTTCGGCGTTATGCCAACCCCAAGTCTCCCACAGCCGCAGGTCCTCGTCAGCGTACGCCGGCGCCGCATCCGCCTCAACCGTACGCTTGTCCACTCCCCGGAGAGGATGGACACGAGGCTATCAGTGCCCTTTTGCACTCAAGTTCGCCTCAAGCTACTGCATCCGATGGAGGAAAGCCTCGCTCTGGAAAGTCCCGTCGTCGGACTCGGCGGAAGAAGGTTCGTCACCTTCAGCTGAGTTCTGCTACTCAGCCCGCTGTCTCTGCTCGCTCTGAAGACGACGGTGACGCTTCGAGCGAAGCTGAGTTTGAGTTTGAGTTGCCTGAGCCGCCCGCCGACACCGTTCCCGCAGTCGCTTCGACGACTTCGGTGGGTTCTTCGTCTTCTGGCCCTCCGGTGACTTCGTCGGTCGCGGCTACTCGCCCACCGCCGATATCTTCATCTGATGTCGTGGCCTCACTGCCTGTCCCGGCTACGAGCGTGGGTGCCCCAGGCTCGACTTCGCCCATCTCCGCTGGGTTGCCCCAGTCGAGCGCACCACTCAGCGTCGTGCTAACGGTGGTTGGAAACTCCCAGTCGCCCTCTCGGGGTCTGAGCGTATCCACCACGCCGACTGACTTAGTGACTCCGGCCGTGAGTGTCCTCAGACCGTCTCTCCCTGTGACCACGGCCGTGTTGACATCCCCATCTGGGCGTCCTATTCGGAGATCGGCTGCGACCGCCCGTACTGTGACTGCTCAGCTGCTTGAGGATCTCGACGCGTCTGACGACGAGGTGTTAGGGCCTGGTGATGGTTCTGTTCCGTTCACCGGCTCGACAAATCCTGCCGTTGGGTCGCTCTTGAATCCCATTTCCTTATCAGAGCACTCGGCTGGCAGTCCTTCCGGTTCCGACTCAGCGACCGCAGATGCTCGTCGTTCCGCCCAAGCGAGAGGTCTTCATGCGGCGATCTTTGGTTCTGACGATGAGATGAGTGATGAGTCTTTGCCGCCGAGTGATCGCCCCTCCTCGCGGCTTTCATCGAAGGACTCTGGTGACGGGACGAGTTCTGCCTCTGCGCCGGCTTCGGGGAAGCAGCAGCATCGCAAGCGTCGTGCCTCGTCGAGTCCTACCGGTCATCGGTCGAAGCGATCCAAGAAGCACAAGAAGCACAAGAAGCATCACAAGACGCATCGACACCACAAGCATCGGCAGCTTCCGTCGACTCCTGATCCAGCTCCGGCTCAGCCCATTCCGGCTGCTCCTTCGCCGAGTAGGCTCCCGGTTATATCGATTCTCGCTCAGCCGAGTTCGACTGCCTCACGTCCGGCTGTGGTCGCCCTTCCCAGCGCTCTTACACTTCCGCTGGCGACGTTACGGACTCGAGCCTCGCAAGCGGTGTCCAAGGATTGTCGCCTGACTCTTCACATGGCTCAACTCCGCGAGGTACCATTCATGCATTTCGGCTCAACTCGTTGTTGGAATGCATTATTGGATACACTGAGCGGGGGGGTGCAGATGGAGCTCGTTGGGGGCAAGAGTCGTGTGCCGTCTACGCCGTGTTCTCTTGACGGCATTCGAGCTTTCATGGACGTTTTCGACCCGAGCCATCCATGTCAGCGTCTTCGTCGGATGCTCCCCGAGCTTCCTTTCTTCTTTTCTCCGTCGATACTGGAGGAAGCTCGGCGGTGTTTGGCTTCTTTGACC